TCATGGCCAGAACTCCTGGTGGAGGTTCTGGGGCATTGATGGGGAGAACCAGGGTCATAAAACTCCAATTTCGGATATTCTGATGTGGGGCCCCACCCTCAACAGACCAGGGCTCCACATCACAGCCACAGACAACAATCACCCACACATGGCTGGAGCCATGGGTGGTGATATCTTTCTATCTCTTATGTTATCTTATCTCTCTTTCCCCATTTTTCTCTTTCAATTTTCCTCTCTTAGGGTGATCACATCCTCCAGAACAGCTATATATCCTTTTTCATTTTTTTCCAGTTACGGTTTCAATGGAGTTGTTCATTGTTATATAAGTTATTTAGCGCTGTTTTTCTTTAATTCTTTTAAAAAAAGAATCTGTTAACAAGGAACCTGGTTGCCCTGCCTCAGGGGCAGGTTCCAGAAACTGCCCTCTCTGAGGTACAGAGTAGAAGCAGAGCAATGGGGCTCTTAATCTAGATGCATTACTTGAGTGCCTGAAATTAGAAAGGTGTCATTTAATTGGATACAAAAAACAGGAATGTGTTTTCCTGGAGGCCTTATCACCTCTCACAGTATTTGTTAACAATTCTTTTCTTCATTCCTGTCTGAAATCCAGAAATGTAAGAAGTATTTTGCTTAGTTTTTACTGTGTTAAATGACTTCTTGAATACGCACTCATGATTTACTCCAAAATGTTGGATCAAATTAAGTATTATTGTCTTGCTAAATACCATGAGTGATCTAAAATAATGGTCCAAATATTTAAAATTTAATCATAAAATTAGGCTCTGGAGTAAAAGTTGCTCTGTACATGTGTTTGGATTAATGATACTGCCTTTACATATTTTCAGATAAAGTTTTGCTAGTCTTTTGATTTATTACTGGATCATGTTCTGATGAAAAATTTGTATACTCTACAATATAGAGCTCATGTGGAATGAGTCAAAAATTGGCTGGTGTTGCTCAAAAAGTAGCTGTCTTTGGGGAAATCACCAGTGAATATGTGTGGGTTTTCTAGAGATTGGAAGCCTGCCGCTGTTCTACACTTCCATCAACAGTCTACAGATGGCATAATGATTTAGGAGGAGGTTGTCGAGCTGGCTTTGTGACTCAGGCTTATTTAAAGAATAAATGCTTTAATAAGGAAAAATACAATGTTAAAAGTCTAGCAGTGGGAGTGTGTGGTTCTGCTGAGAGCAGAGACGTGCATGGGGAGCAGCCCGGCCTCTGGGAGGACAGCGTGTGCCCTCGTGAGCGGAGCTACAGCAGCCCTGCTCTCCTGCCCTGCCCGATCAGAGGATGTGCTGGGGGCAAACACAGCTTGTGTCTGCTTAGATGTTCGTGCCATCAAAAAAAGAGCCTATGGGGGTAGAGAGTGCGAAGAAAGGCATTTAAAGAACAATATAACCATCAGGCACAGAGGGAAAGTTAAGTTCATCTAATCTGGTATCTTTCTACGAGAAGGTTACCTGTGTAGTGTGTGAAGGGAAGGGAGTGGATGTTTTCTGGGTTTTAGTAAGGCTTTTGATACTTCTGTCCTTCATAGCATCCTTCTGGGAAAGTTGTCCAGTGGTGGGATTAGCAGGTTCACGGTGTGCTGGGTGAAGAACAGGTTGGATGGCAGGGCTCAGACGGGACTGGTGACCATTTAGCAGTGGCGTTCCTCAGAGATGAGGTCTAGGGTCAGTTCTGTTGGGTTTACTTATCAATGCTCTGCATGCAGGAGGGGAATGCACTTGTGCTGGTTTCAGCTGGGGCTAATTTTCTTCACAGTGGTTAGTACAGGGCTATGTTTTGGATTTGTTCTGATCACAGGGCTGATACTACAAAGTTGTTTTTGTTATTGCTTACACAGAGCCAAGGTCTTTTCTGCTTTTGAATGGTGATGCTGGCAGTGAAGCTGAGGGTGCCTGGGAGGTCTGGAGGAGGAGCCAAAGCCACAACAGGTGACCCAAACTGACCAAAGGCATATTCCAGACTGTGTGACATCATCCTCAGGATATAAACTGGGGGGGCAGAAGAAGAAGAGGGAAACATTTGGATTGATGGCATTTGTCTTCTGAAGTCATTTTACATTTGATGGGACCCTGCTCTTCTGGAGATGGCAGAACACCTGCCTGCCCATGGGAAGTGATGCCTTAATTCCTTGTTTTCCTTTGTTTTTGCTTTCTCTATCACACTCTCTTTATCTCAACCCACGAGTTTTGCAGCTTTTACCCTTCCAATTCTCTCCTTGATACTGGGAAATGAGGGACAGAGTGAGTGGCTGCTTGGGGCTCAGCTGCTGGCTGGGGTTAAACCTCAACAGCACTGTCACCATGTTTGATATGAATGATATTCCCTCCTAAAATTTTGATATGTGGAGAATAAGGGCTTGGTTGAGTGATTAACGTATCTGCAAATTAAAATGAATGTATTTTGTTTACTTTTTTCATGTTAAATAAGGAATTCTCAAATGTTATCTTTGGATAAATACGAGTAATGTGAGTGCATCGTGCTGGTATTCCCAGAACCTGTGCTGTCCTTGGAGCTTCTGTTGATAAAAACAGGTCTGCAGAGAAGAGTGCCAGAGACATCAATGACAGCAGGACATATGCAGGCATTTTCAGGATTTTGTCTGAACACTAGTTGCAAATGCTTGGTTTTGTTTATTATAATTGAGTGTTCACAAAAGTTTTAGACTCAAAATTAAATTATAATGACTTTGATCTAGGATTCATAGTTACTTTGCCCATCAAAGAACATTGCACCATTTGGAGCTTGAACTAATAAGGAATACTATATACAATACACATACAATATTATATACAATATACAATTTATATTGTGACCTAGCCAAGAGCAGATCCAGATAACAACTCTGCTTTTTACTTTTCTCTCTCTTAATACAAAATTAATTTCATCACGATGTGATGAAGAAGCTACTTGTTGGTTAATTTCCATATTCATAGTTGAAATGTGAAAAAACAGATTTGTGTGCTTTATGATTTCCAAATTATTTCACCTTTTTTACTTTTAGTTGCCAATTTCAGATGATGTTGTGTACCAGCTTGGCTGTCACAGTGCATTAAAGATTTTATTATTTAAAGGAGTTTGACAAGGAAAATGAATATAGTATTAAGAAAGGATATAAGAATGGTGATGATGAATGGTACCACAGAATCCTTTCATGAGCAGTGGTTAGCAATGGATGCTGAGGCTAAGAACAGGACAGAATAATGTGATGTTTCCACAGAATTCTTTCTCCTTCTCCAGCAGTTATCCTTATGGATATCTATTGATCCCACACAAATCTATAAAGACTGTTATAGGGAGTAAAGGTGTTAATTACAAATATCTATATCTGTTGTCAGTCAGCTGGTTTCACTGGACAAATTAGACACAGCTCTGTGCCATTACCTTTCCTGCAACTGCCTCTGGGCCTCCTCCATCTGGAGCAGGGTGTTTGTGAATTCAAAAGAAATAATGACTGAAAAATTTTGAACAGTGTATCTCAGAAGAAAACTAGAATACATTACAAAAGTATAAACCAACTAAATGTTATTCAGAAGCTAGAATAAGATTGTTGCACATAATAGTAACTAGGCAATATTCAACTTAAACTGAAAACTTGCAAAACCAAAATTACAAACTTCATGAAATACTGTGACTGCTGTGATGATGAAGTGCACACCACAAGTCAAGGACTTATTAAGGTTTATACAGAGGTGGCACATACAATTGGAGGTCACAAAAATACCAAGTTCTAACAGTTAAGGCTCAGGTTTCTGCACCCCAAGTGCAGTTTTGGGACTGCACTATGTTCAGTTTTGGGACTGCACTATGTTTCTGCACTATGTTCAGTTTTGGGACTCACTACAGGACAATGAGGTGCTGGAGCATGTCCAGAGAAGGAGGTTGTAGCCAGGTGGAGCTCAGTCTCTTCTTCCAGACAGCAAGGAACAGGACAAGAGGAAATGGCCTCAAGTTGCTCCAGGAGGGATTTAGATTGTGTATTAGGAAAATTTCCTTCACCAAAAGGGTTGTCAGGTACTGGAACAGGCTGCCAAAGGAAGTGGTAAAGTCATCCCTGAAGGCATTTAAAAAATGTGTAGATGTGGTACTTGGAGACATGGTTTAATGAGGTACTTGGCAATGGTGGGTTAAGGTTGGACTTTGATCTTAAGAGGTCTTTTCCAGTCTAGAAGTTTCTCTGATTCTGCTGCAGCAGGGTTAAATGGCACACTTTAGAAATTATGCCAACACACACTGAGTCTCTAATGAGGGAAAACCACGGAGCATCTGCATGCTCTTGGACTTGCTCTTTTTTCTGTGGAACATCTGATATCGGCTGTGTAAAGACACCAGATTAGACTAGACGTGTGATTCTGGTCCTGCCTATTTGTCTTGAACTCTTATGATTACAGGCAGTTTGACACCAGGCCTGCAATACATAATGGCCTGAAATCGCTGCCACTTGAAGAATTTGGGGCTGTTGCCATTTAAGAGAGCAGCAGGACGCACGGGCGAGGCTTCAGAACTTTCGGCACAGCGCGTCTGGAAGGAGGGACCGCAACACCTATTCGTGCTGACGCTGCACTTGGGTCACATCAGCCTGGGAACAATCGCGGTGTTCGCCCACCCTGCTTGATATTTCATCTTCTTTCTGAAAACAAAAAAAAAAACCAAAAAAAAAAAAAAAACAAACCCCAAAACCCCACAGCAGGCACAGTACTCACGAGAGCTCACCCGCGACCGAGCCCCCGCTCCGGGCGCCGCAGCCCCGGGCAGCGCTCCTGGCGCAGCTTCCCCGCCCGCCCTCTCTCCCTCCTCACGTTCCCGTGCCCGGCTTTCCGAGTCCCCTCCCATGGCCCGCCCCGCGGGCGAGGAGCCGGCCCCGGGCCCCGTCCCCGAGCTGTCCCCGCCGGCGGCCGGCGCCGCTCCATCCTTGTGTGGCTCCGGGAAGCGCCGCCCGCCCGGACCGCGCCCCCCGAGCCCCCGCTGGCCCGTTCGGGTGGCAGGTTTGCAGAGCCAGCTCCGGCGTATATAATATATGTGATTACGTATCTAGAGAGAGATGTATATAAAAGGGTGCTCATGCTGACCTCATGATGAGAAACGAGCCAATTCCTGCTTGCAAAGGGAATGTTTTATGTGCAGGAACGCGATGCTCCTGTGCTGGCTGTGACAGACCCCGGCGGGGTGCGAAGGTGCCCGACCTCCCCAAAAGAAGAGACTGGCCCGGTGGTCCCCGGGCTCTGCAGCAAGCTGCTCGCCTGCAAGAACAGACCATGCCCAGGCCCTGCCGAGGCTCCCGCGGCAGCGCGTTAGATCCCAAGGAGGAATGCTTTACAGGTAGGTTTTGTTAGCTATTGTCTTTTGCATGTCTCTTGTGTTCCCCCGGTTTTTTGTGTTTTTTTGTTTTGGTTTTTTTTTTTTTTTTTTTTTTTTTTTTTTTTTTTTTTTTTTGGTTTGATTTTTTTGTTTTGGTTTGGTTTGGTTTTTTTGGTTTTTGGTTTTTGGTTTTTTGGTTTTTTTTTTTTTTTTTTTTTTTGGGGGGGGGGGGAATGTGATAAACACAAAGAATGTGCCGGTTTGTAACAGTGCTGTTGCTGTGTGTAATGCAAAACAAGAGCTTGGCTGGCTGTGCTTTTTTATTGCATTGTTTTTACTGGTAATCTCTTGGAAATCTCCAATTCATATTTTACTCGAGGAAAGGACGCTACCAGATGTGTGTATGTGGACTCTCTCGGTTTCTGGCAGTGTTAACTCCCCCGACATTGGAGCTTTCTGCAGCTTTCCTAAATGCTGGCCCTGACAATGGGTGGGAGTAGCATTTGCATTCCTGGCCGTACCTGGAAGGAACACTCGTTTTCCTGGACATTCATGCCCTGACGTGCCCTGCACCTTGAGAGCAAAACTGTCCTGCTCTAGCTCCTCAGACTGATGCCTGTCTGCAGAGGTGGACAGCAAAATCCCTTATTTAGGTAGTGAGGAGGGCCGTGAATTAAGAGTGATTTATCAGTATCATTTATCAGTATCACATTAAAAACTGATGAGGATGCATAAGAAAAAAAAAGTGCTAATATTAAGGACTTTTTGCAGGTAATGCCACCAACCATTTTTTACTACAGGGGTTGATGAATGAACCTAAATTACCAAGAGGACTTTCGAGGGCTAAGCCTGATGTTATGACTGATACATTTTATAGAGGTTGGGCTAATTTATCAGCTGACCAGCCTTTCAGTTTGTGCTTAATACTGAGCACACAGTCCAATCTACTCACTGAAGTTTATGGATATGTGAGTGTTGTTGGATCATGACCTTATTTGTTGGATCTTGACAGTTCACTTTCTGCACAAACCCCCTGAGGCTTACTTCTGTGTTGTCTCGTAAGTATTTATGAAATTTAAATTTGGTACAACACCCTGAAAAGGGTAACACTTTTTATGCCTACAAATTTTATTGCCCTTGCATTGGGTATTTTACTGGCTTTTACAATAGATTAAAAATCCTGAGCAGTGGGATGTTTCAGTGTTTCTAAAAAAACACTTTTTGTTTACAGTTTTTGGCACAGTCCTGCTGGTCTACTGACACAGTTACTTCTGGTCTTGTAGCACTGCTAAAATTGCACTCCAGTGATGAGACTCTCAAAAATACTTTCTTCACTCTAATGTTTGAAATAAAGCCAACTGGGTTACATTTCTCTCAGAAATTATGTTACATGTTGCTGAGATAGGGTAATTTTTATTGCTATTTTGATGCCTGTTTATGTTATACCCATATAAAGATGAGAAGTGTGCTCTACAGACGTGAGTGGGTGTGACATATACTGCATCTATAAACACTTCCACAGGCTGTCAGCTGAGTTTCTATGGCTGAAGAGAAGTATTTTCAATTTTAAATCTCATCTCTCACATGGCATGCAATAAACCAAAGTGGGAGCTAGGAGCATTAGGTGGATTTTTTTGGATAGAAGAACCCTTTCCCTATCTGTGCTTAGAATCTGTAGCATTGAGAAGAATGACTTAAGAGAGGATGAACATGTCTTAAAATGTTAAGAGTCTGATTGTGCAGGACTGTGCCCTCATGAAGAACCCTTGCTCTCATAACTGGTGCCACTGATGACAGGGAAATTATTTATGTGGGTTACGAACTATTTGTATAACAAAGAGCGTGCAATATTGGAGTCCCAAAAATGCAGTAAAGCTGTCCTAGGAAAAATTCCTTCAGAAGTTTCATTTTGCAAATTGTCAATTAGGTGAGCTTTATTCTTTCTGAGTGCAATGAAACAGAAACTCTCATCTTTGATGATGTACTCTCTGCTGATCCAAACAGGGAGGTGTGAAGTTATTTTTTGGCTCCCCAAACTGTATTTACAGATGCTGTGTGAACCCAAGATAAGCAATGTGCATTTCATATTTAGTGCAGGGTGTTTGAACAGAGCACAGTGCTGTGTCCAGCAGTCTCTTCATGGGCCACTGAAGTACAGTTGCTCCTGCAGCAAGTGCAGCCAGTGGCCAAATATCAGTGATGTATGGCTTATGTAGTGAGGCCACTGAGGGACCCAGGGTGTTGGCTCGAGCATTGTGGCACTTTCTCTTGGCTGGGAACTGACTCTGTTTAATGTGAACTTCCATGAGTATTTTTAACCATAAACTGTGGTTCTGTTGCAGGTTTGGCAAATCCTGTTCTTGATTTCTCCTTGACAGAAGCCAAAAGGTTTTTTGTTAACTTCCACTAATTTTAGATGAAAATGGTCCATCACTGGAAATACTGACAGATGTCTTTTGTATCAAAAGCCAGAAACAATATTTAGACATGAGCCCAAGCTTAGAGAGCAAAATATTTAATTTATCTTCTTTCTTGTTCTCACTATATGTATTTTCCTTCTGCCTGTTGCAATTTTGCTGTCTAAAGTATTGATAGTTTTCTATGTTTTTGCAGCATTTTGAATAAAAATTGGTCATATTATTACATAGTTGCTCCTTGAAGACACTAATGTACAGACCATCATCTGGCATAGTGAAAATAATTTCTTTTATTAATTTCTTCTATTAATTTTATTTATCAATGTAAATTTCTCAATCCGCATCTCCCACTTAAATGCTAGTCCATTGTTGCTTCTTTTCTTTCATGTATATTGCCAGAAAATTTTGTCTCAGAGTTTTTTCAAGTAATAGCTGTATACAGCACATATTCATTAGTGACAGAGTCAAAGTTTTTCAGTGTGGTTTTTTTTCCTTATTATTTTAGTGATATAAAACTACTTCTGGGGATGTAGCAATTGAAGTGACATTAAATCTACTTTTCTTCTCAGCATCTTCCCAAATTACATGTTCTCAATGAGGTAGTATAGATGTAAAACAATCAAAATGACAGTCTTATGTGCAAGAATTTGTTATTATTGATTAACTTCGTTCAGTTAGAGATCTGTGGGAACCAGCAATCTAAGCTGTAACATTAAAATACAGCAGTGTCTCTGATTCTGTTTTTGCAAATTATAGCAATAATGTGCGAAGCTTCCAAAATTTGCTATGGCCGACCAGAGCACAGAAACTTGGTAATTCAATGTCATAGCCTTATCATTTGATAGGGTAAAATTATAAGGTAAATATAAGTATTTATGTAGCCATTGTGTGTTGTGCTTACTAGGATGTAAAAGAAAAGATGGATGCAGTTAAAGGTTTTGTAAGTCAATGAAATTATTTTGACATTATGCAATTTTCAAGTATCATGTTCTATTTGAGAATTTTTTTTTCTGATTAAGAAGGCGGTTTCTGTTTGTTTTGGGTTTGTGCCATTTTTTTCCTTTTTGTTTGTTTTATTTATTTAATGTTGTGGTATTTTGACACTGGCTCGATGCTAGGTGTCTACCAAAACCACTCTTTCACTTCCCTCCTCAGCTGGACTGGGGAGAGAAAATTATGGAAGGCTCATGGGTTGAGATAAGGACAGGGAGAGAACACTCAGAAATTACCATCACAGGCAAAAGAGGGGAAATCAATTTAGTTTAATACCAGTCTAATTAGAATTAGAATTAGAATTAGAATTAGAATTAGAATTAGAATTAGAATATGGTAGTGAGAACTAAACCCAATTCTTAAAAAAAAAAAAAGTCTCCCCACCCTTCACAGCCTTAACTTCACTCCCTCCTTGCTCTACCTTCTCTCCCCAGGCAGAGCAGGTGCATGGGGAATGGGGGTTATGGTCACTTCTGTCACATGTTGTCTCTGCCACTTCTTCCTTGTCACAGGAAGGACTCCTCATGCTCTTCCCCTGCTGCAGGGTCATTCCCACAGGAGACAGTCCTCCGTGAACTTCTATGACTTGAGTCCCTTCCACCGGCTGTTGTTTTCCATGAATTCATCCAGTGTGTGTCCCCAAGGGGGTCACAGATTCTGCCAGGAGCCTGCTCCAGTGTGGGCTGCTCCGCTCTCTCCACAGGTCACAGATCCTGCCAGGAGCCTGCTCCAGTGTGGGCTGCTCCGCTCTCTCCACAGGTCACAGGTCCTGCCAGGGGCTGCTCCAGTGAGGGCTGCTCTGCTCTCCACAGGCCACAGGTCCTGCCAGGAGCCTGCTCCAGCACAGGTTTCCCACAGGCTCACAGCCTCCTTCAGGCACATCCACCTGCTCGGTGTGGGCTCCTCCAGGGCTGCAGGAGATCTCTGCTCCCCCCTGGGCCTCCAGGGGCTGCAGGGGCACAGCTGCCTCACCATTCACATTCCCTCTCTCCTCCTTCATTGACCTTGGTGTGTGCGGAGCTGTTCCTGTCTCACATTCTCTCTCCTCTCACAGCTGCAATTGTCCTTGTGCAGTACTTTTTTGCCCTTCTTAAATTCATTATCCCAGAGGTGCTGCCACTGCTGGACTCAGCCTTGCCAAGCAACTGGTCCATCTTTACTTTAAAAATGTGTAAGTTTTTGCTATGCATATGAATTAAAGCATTTTCAGTTTTCTGGCTAGTTTGTTAATGATGAGGATGCAACAGATTTAATTTTTTAAAATTGAAAACATAAAAATTAACTGTTTCAACATCAGAAATAAAAAACTTCTATTGAGATCACAAGTCCTATCTTGCCTTCTGAAAGATTTGAGAGCATTTTTTTGCATCTCTTTGAGAGGAATAGAGAAACAGTACTGTCACCACTTGTTGCATTATTTCAGGCGTAGGACTGCCTGAAAATTAGAAACAGATAGGTGCTTATATTCTCTCCATTGTGTCCTTAGCCCTCAAAGGTTATGGATCATTTATCTGTGTTTAGGGTAGGATGGAACAATTTTCTAAAATTTTCAAAACCATTAGGGTCCCACTTATTTTTTAATGTATGTACTTTGTGAAGTGTCAATAGCTTTAGAAAAGGCAATAGCAATGAATGTCACAGCAAAGAGAGAGGGTCTCTTACATCTCATGGACAATGCTGGCTTTTAGGATACAAGCAAATCTGGTAAAAGCAATTTTACATTATTTCTTATATGTTATTCTGGCTAGTGCTCCTAAAGCATCAGCCAGCATTTACTTTTTCCCACAATGCTCTTCCAAATGGAATGCAGTCTCCATCCTGTAAGCTGGGCACCTTCCATGTCAAGCAGCTCAGGTATGAGCACATTTGATAGTGCTTCTGTGCAGGACAGGAGGCTGGAGCCAGGACACCATCCAGGTGAGATCTCACGCAAAGAAATGTTTCTAATACATCTTCCAGGCAAGGGTCTGTTTTGCTCTTTGAATATAGCAAACAGATTTCTGATTCAACAGCTTCAGGGGAACAGTAGCAAGGGAGAGAGAGCCCAATCTGTGGTGATCATTCATGTGCAGACAGACAGGTTCTGTGTCTGGACTCTTGGCTGAGGCTGGTGGATTATTCCAGTCCTTGCAGCCAGAGGCAGCTCATTTGGCATTAATTTCTGGTAACTTTTCCAACAGCCTCTTTTATCCACAAGTGCCAGGCTGCTGAGGACTGGAGTGGCCCGGTCTGAGCCAGGCACTATCCAGCCGTGTCTGTCTGTGTCCTGGTGGTGATGGTGAGGGGGAATGGCTCCAGCCCACCCCTTCCTGTTCCTCTGTCTGCATTTGCCTGTGCCTGGCCTTGGCTGCTGTGCCTGTTCCTGGGACTGAGTCTGGCACGGCGTGGCTGGGTGCATTTCTCTTTCAGCCACCCTTCCAGAGGCAGACTTAGTGCAGGGAATGAAGGGGAGAAATGCAGAGGGACTGACCAGTGTTAAAATTACCACATCACACGACTGTGGTAACTCCTTGATGGCCTTGTGTTACATCCACAAGAAGTTCCGGGTGTCTTTTTCTGTGGAGATCAACTGCAGATATGTTGTGCCTAAATGTCTGAGAAGCTGAAAATGTAAATGGAAATTTATGCTTAGGATACATATATATTTAACACAAATATATTTTTAAAACCCTGTTATGAACAGCCTGATTGAGGAGTGAAGATCTTACTGATGAGCTTTGTGGAGAATGCTTCAGAAATTACAAAAAAGTTTTCTTGATTGGAGTAGAAGCATTATAAAACTCTAAAAACTATAAATAACTGTGGCAGCCTTAGCAACCTCTGACTTAATCTGCAGGCAGCTCTTTGGCTCAAGAGCAGTAGGTGGGATATATTCTTTATATTTACTGCAGTATTAAAATATGGATATTATCTTTTAAGGGTACCATTATGCTGTAGCTTCACATCTTTCTGTTGGTAATTTAGCAGTTACGTGGGGTTTTTTTCCTTCAGGAACTTTTGGGTTTTAAAATATTATTGGAATCTTCTCACTGTTTCAAATGTAGTGGGCTTTCTTAATTCCTTCAAATCCCCTACAGCCTTTTAGACCTAGGAAAAGTTAACTCTGTGAGAAAAAGTCAATTCCTTCTTCACAGCAGTTCACTCTTTGCTAATTCCATTCTTTGGAGTAGAAAATGTACCTTTAAAAATAGTGCAAACTTCTGAGCTTGAGGATTACTGAGAAGAATGTGAAGGCTTCTAGAGTTACTCTTTATTTTTTGTATTTTTCCTTCATTCAATAAGAATGTCAGATTTGTTTGTTTGTTTGTTTTTAAGGGGACAGAAAAAAGCCTATTCTCTTAAAAAATCATATTTAAGTGAAATACTATTGTTCATGTGTGCCACTCCCCTCTAGTGAATAGAAGTGGAATTGCTTCATGTTGTGTCATGCCATTGACCCCCTAGCTGCAACCAGATTATGGAATTTTTCTTTAACTTTCAATGACAGAGAGTTATCTTTCTTTCAGTGTAACAATGTGAACTTTTTTCTGCTTTTTCTATTAAGGAAGAAATAGGCTTTCAGTGCAAAGCATGCTAAAGTTATTAAATCTGTCCTTTGCACACACACGATGCCCAAGTAAAAATAAAATTAACAACAGCAAAACTGTAGTAGTTATTCTTCTGTCTGCATATGCCTTGGTTTGAGTGAAAGTTTCATGCTCCATGCCCCTTTGCATACATGAAGCATTTATTTTACAACAATGTTTACATTTTCCTTGATAGTTGAATACATTTTTGATGTAGTAATCTTAACTCCTCCATGATAGGTTGATGTTTGCCTTATTAAACCTTTGAATAATTGATACCAAAGCTTGAGTTGTTTGGTCACAGATAGGTGTGCAGTTCTAGATAAAAATATCTATCCACATATTTTCACTTGGATGTTTTTGTTGAAGAGGTAACAGAGGAAAAGAGTTTTACAAAAATGTTGTGTATGTGATAAATATTCTGTCAAATGTCAGCAAACAAGGCACCAAGTGTGAGATTTCTCTGGCCAGAGGCCAGTCAAATAGCTCAGCAGTCACCCTAGTCTGAACTCTGTGCTTATCAGCCTTGGAGAGAAATACATGCATTTAGCTTTCCATTTGTCATCTAAAGTACACAGCTAAAATATGCTCATAGCCAGAAGCTGATTGTTTCTATTTACTGCATATGACAGATGTATCAAGCTAGAATGAGATTAATCCTGTATGGGGTGGTCTTTAAAAAAAGATCTGTTTGTGTCTGCTTTTTTTCCCATTAATTGTGCCCTTAATTCATACAATAAATGTGTCATTAATCAATGGTGCTGGTGAAAATAGCTTTTTCTTTTACACTGACAACCAAATTTAGTCCATTAGAGTTCTACTGGCTGTGAAGGTCACAAGCCTAACAAAGTAAACAACCTGAAGAAGTTGTATGAGATGTAGAACTAGTGAACCCTAAATCAACATAAACTCTGATGTGAGGCAAATGTATGCAGAAAAATATTTCATAGAAAAAAAGAGCATAGATCCAAGATATTTTTGGTTATGCCTAAGAGATGCAGAGGTGTGCTGAGACTAAAATTTTCTCTATAGAGCTCCATATGTTTATTTACCATACACACATATTAAAACTGACCCTAGACATCCGCCTACCTGAAGCTTAAAGAGCAGAATGTATGAATGTAGCTGAAAGGCCAAATGTAACACATTCTCTTGTTTTCCTTCCTTTAGGGGTGTTTTACATTTTACATCCTTGCTTTTTTCTTCTACGCAAAGATGCAGTTCATCCTTGTTCTTAAAGGATGGCAGACGTTTCTTGTAAAGGTTAAAGCACTTTTTTTTTAAAAAAAAAAAAAAAAGAGAAATATTAAAAATATGAGGCCAAATTCCATGGCATCTAGTTAGGCAAAACTCACACTCAGATTTTTTTTTTTTTTTCCTAATGTGCTGTACTGTACATCACTGCATCTTTTTAGTTTCTTCCTTTGTAACCAAAGGATAAACTCCTGTTGGCTATTGCACAGCATTTTCAAAGCTCTGATTTATAAATACTGTTATGGAATTGTTACTCAAAACTATCTCTTCTCTTTTCCAGATAAATCAGTGCTTGCCCAGCCAACATTTATTTTTGAAAAGAAGGACCGTTCTTTGAAGGTAAAAAGCCTGTTTCCCCCCCTTTTTCATATTGATAACAATTGGTGAGAAATAGGGATTCTGTAGACAATTATCCTAGCAGTAGTATAAGATTTTAGCCCTGGTTAACACTTGTAATAAATGGTCTGAAAATAGAACAAGGAAGAATAGAAAACAGAAACAAGACTTAATGCATATATGCTGGACTGTTACTCTTTGTGTCTCTGTCTAGAAAATGACAGTTCTATTTTCCTTGACCTTTTCGTCCTTATTTTTTTTTTCCAGCGGCCTGCAGAAGACCCAGTTTGCAAAGCTGAAAATGGTAATCACCACCTCGCTGAAATAGCATAATATAACTGAGTTATTCATAGGTCTGCCTATTTCCTGTCATAACAGTGTTTGGACTCCTTCTATGAGCAGGGGCAAATCCCAGTTGTCAGACTAAGATTTTGTGGGTTGTAGAGCCACCTACTCTGTCCTAATATATATGTCCCTGTCTTCCCTCAAGAGTTCTTCTGTCTTACCTCTCATATTTACCAGAAAGACAAGCTCCAGAAACCCTGAAAATTGACCAAGTGTATTCATCAGCTGTATGAACTCCTAACTGCCTTTTTCTATTTTCTTGGGTAATGTTATAATGTAGCTCCTCACTCTTAATGTTTTCTGAGCCCATGAGCTATGAACTAAGTACTTGCTTTGGGTTCCTTGAACTTAGGAGAAATAAAGACTCCCCAGGGCTTTGTCACAGGTGTTGACTTAGATTCCAAAGCCCTCTTGCTCTTAGGTACTGCCTTAAAGCTAAATCCTTCCTAGAATTTATTTTGTTCAGATGTTAATTCAGAATCCTAACATGGTGCTGATGCCTCCTGCCAATTGCACTGTACTTTCTTTTCTCTAGATTTCATTAGCTGTTCCAGCAAACGTGCAAGATCATCATCTTTGACTTTCCAGAAGTCTGACTCTCAGTCTGATACTGGTATGACATTTACCTCCAGTCATGTTTTGATTGGGGTTCTGTATTCTCATCTGGCAATGAAAATAATGAATTCCTCCATCTATGAAATGTTTCTGCATTGTAGGCATGCTGCAAGTAATGAAAACTTAAACATTTATACTTGCTGGTAGTTTCCAATGAACATGTTTTTAATTAAAAATACATTATTTTTTCCATACTTACATAATATTACATAAAGTAGTGAAAAATCTATAAATTTTGTATAATTTTCTTTAATTGCTCACACAGTCAAGGGACAATGAGGTCAGGAAAGGAATTATATCCCTGCCTTCTGGAAGAGATCAGAGTTCCCTGGGCAATCCTTTAAAATATAAAGCAGTTTCCAGAAGGGCCCCTCCTGCTGTCCATGAGCTGACTGGAAAGGCTGACTAAGGACTGTGTATTTTTTCCATGGAAATGAACATGAATCACTAAGGCTACTGTGCAGAAGGACTGATCTGTTTTTTACAACCTTTATTTAACATATGGATGGTACCAAAAAAGTACTTCTGAATTCAGGCATTAATACATGTACGGTGTATTTTTGTTTTAAATCACATCTGAATGTACCTAAGAGGACTTAAGCTATGTTTGGTTTACACTGAAAGTTAAACTGGGATAGATATGTGAGAAATTTTAGGGCATGCCTATACCAAAAAATAAAGCAGAGTGCAGAAGGAAGCTGGAGTGTTTTCCTTCTTGATTGCCCACACTGTTTAAGGGATAGGTCACTGTCTGGCAGTGTTTTCAACCTTTCCACCTGGCAGAGCAGGTTAGCTGTGTGCCTGAGCCAGGCTGGGCTGCTTGGCCTCAGAGACATCCTGGGGTCAGCAGCATAACCTAACAGTCTGCTTCAGAAAGATGGTGGGTAGCAGACAATAATTTATTCTATTGTCAATGAAAGCATGACATCAGCCTGGCTAACCCGAAAACTCATCTTTTTTATTCTCCAAACAAGTGATGATTTAATCTCTTATCCTTTTAGATACAGCTCTCACACAGCAAAGAGGGAGATCATCTTCATTTAACATCCTTCCTACTTTCCCTCCCTCCCAGACAGGTAAATAAAAATAATATTTACGTAGAAAAGCAACTATTAGCCAAAATAAAGATGTATGCAGAAATGCTTTTCCTGCAAGACAAAGCTGAAGTGTGTTGGACTAGTCTGGTATTTGGATGGGAGAAAGGGTTGTTTGATAAGGGGGACTGGCATTTCAATAGAAGATAAGGGAAAAAAGTTGGGGAATCCTCTGGGGCAGGGGTGGAATCTTTGAATAATTTAAAAGCATGCATTTACAGAGTGTGATACAAAATATACTTAAAAAACCAAAATGAAATTATGGTAATTATATGAATAGTTTGCTTGCAATATAATGGTGATGGTTCCTACAGGAATATAAATTTCTGTCCTAGGAGCCTGACTTCCACCTAACCAGGGATCCAGGGAATATCCTCCCTCTCTTAGCACTAACAGGAAAGATGGAGTGTTCTCAAATCCTAGCCTACATCTGTTACCAGAGACAGGTTCTTGACAGACACTGCCGTAGAGGATTTCTAAACAATGTTAAGAGTGCCCAGCATTTTAATAGCAGCAAAACACACTCTTGCAATGAAAAGTGGTGATTTTATGTAGTGTATCAGTTGTGCCATTCTACAGGACATGGTATGTGTGTGGCATCGCACCTTAAGGGGAAGGCAGCACCCAAGATTTACAAATCTTGGGTGGTCACAGTCGAAAGGAATGACAGAAGTCAGAGGTTCTGCAAAAGCTTAAAAAGTTTTACTGGTAAATTACACACTTGGCATGAAAACTGATCTCTTATTATAACCACATGGTGGGTTTTGGATGAAGGGTTAAGGTGAAAGGGAAGAGAGAGAATTAAAGAGGATTAAAGAAGAGAAAAGATGAAGCAAGAAAGAGAAAAATAGAGATCACTAGTCCTGGCTCCAGCATCAGCATTGGTCTGGCTGTTGTCCAGGATCCTGAGGCACACACCTGGGCTTCACGAGTGCTTTTATATAGAAGGGTTTCCCCACCCTGGAGATGAGTTTCTCTCTTTTTAGGTAAATCAGTTCTCAAATCAGTTCTCAGTTCGTTCTTTCTGGAAATGGGTGAGAGGCCTTGGGAGTCTTGGGTGGTTTTGATGCCCCTACAGTCCATGCCCACATCTTGGCCTCATTCCTGCTGTGTTGTGCTGTGTTGTGCTTATTATGGTTGTCCTGGAAGAGTGCTGCCCTACCTCTCTAGGTACTTTGAGAATGATGATATCAGTAATGCCTGGATTAGGCAGTATAAGGGCACACCTCACCGAAAGCTTATAACGGCCCTACAACTGAGAGCCAATGTCTACCTGACAAGAGAGTTCCTGGCTAGGGGTAGGCATGAGGATTTTGTTTGATCATGTCAACATTGTGGTGCTGGATTTGAACCTGTAGCTCACAATTTTGGGAACTGTCCAATCACTCAAGATGCCAGGCCAGGATCAAAAGACATAATGCCATCTGTGAGATCCTTAGCTGTGAAGCTAAGAAGGAGGATTGGACGGTTTTTCAAGAGCCACACCTGAGAGGTGAGGTTGACGAACTGTTTAAACCGGATTTAATTTTTGTGAAGGCATCAGTGGTTGACGTAACGGTCAGATATGAGCACAGTAGTTCCTCATTGATGGAAGGTGCTGCCGAGAAGGCCAAGAAATATCAGCGCCTTCATCTGCAAATACAACATCTAACTAATGCAGTGGACATTGAATATATAGGCTTCCCCATGGGGGCTCGTGGAAAGTGGTATTGCAAGAACTCTGAGCTGCTTTCGGCCCTCGGTCTCTCTAAAACAAGGCTAGAGAAGACTGCCCGGGCCCTGGCATCCAAAGTCCTTGTCACCTCCATAGATATAGTACATATATTTACTAGCAAAGCTAGATCGATTGTACCTGTGTAGTATTATTGTAGAAATAAACTAGGCCACTTCCCTTGGCCAGTTTAGCTGGACAGTGGAATCGGTTTTGGGTGGGAGGGGTTCATCCATCATAACTGTGTCCTTCTATCCCATATTTTGGGCTTTAAATTCTAATCTGGACTTCCAGGTGGACAGGCCACCTTACTTAACCTGGAAAAGAGATGTATATTATTTATATATGTTTATTAAATACCCTCTGCAACCACATCCTGCACTTTCTCACAGTGACTTACTACCAGAAGTCCTTGGTTGACTCCACAGCTATTGGGTATCAGTGGCATACAAATTATCCCCCTTACCCCCTAGGCTTCTACAGCATGGTTGCCATCACCTTCTCACTGGTGTTTGATATTTTTATTAAAACAGTGAAAGCATCAATAGTGCACTGTCATCATTCTAGTAAGTTATAAAGGCCTTTTTAGAAGAACAGGGCAGAGTACATTTATTTATTTGTTTATTCCTATGTATTTGGGCCTCACTTAATCAGCTTAAAAATGTCTAAAACTTGACCAGGTAACAGTCAATGTTTCTACAAAACAGGAACACCTAGTATTAAAAGATTAAGAAATATTTTGCATTAAAAACATTCATTGGTATCCAAAAGACAGTGACATAGCTAGAAAACCTGGTGCTTTTTTGTGCCAAAGTCTGCCCACCTGTAAAAACTGAGACAGTAACAGTTATCTTGGAGACCTTTTTCAGATGCATATGTTGGAATATTGCTCAGGTACTACCAAAAGAGGAAGGGGATACAGAAATACTAATTAATGGTTAAAATTTGGGTTTACTCGTTATTTAATTTTAAATTTATTTTTTGTAGTAAAGAAGAATAACATATTCATGACCTCAGCTCTTCTCCAAAGAAATCCTGACATCATCAAAAGTACAAGAGAAGGTAACTGTCATTGTAATATTTATTCACTGTAGCTCCACAAAAACATCGTTTAGAGATACAGAAGACAGAAAAAGAACAGCTCTTTTCCATACTGAATGACGGGCTAGGTATTTTTATGCAGTTCATAACTTATTTGTTTGACAGTGTAAATGTCCTATGAACTCTGGTCTGACCATCTGCTCTGACTACTTATTTCCTGAGTGGACTGAATGTAACTTTCCATAGTGAAAATTCACATTTCTAACTGAATACCTCTGCTGCTGGAGAAGGCAATGAAGAAACCTTTTGGCATCTGAGGATGCAGAATTAAATCTGAAATGCCAGAAGACATTTCTAAAACAAAGCAATAAATATAAGTATAAAGATATACTTAAATCTATAAATACAAATGTATTTTGTAAGTAAAAACAGAATGTTTATGTATACTGCAGATTACTTTTTTATCCTGAGAGGATAACACATTGGTTTCACTTCAGAGTTGTGTATTTTAGAAACCATTACAATTTTTCAGAATATGAAGCAAGTAAACAATAGTAAATATTATTTTTAAATGTTTTGAAAGTCTCAGTTAAGAGGCAAGACATATAGGTATGAATTAGATGTGAAGAAAAAGTATATGTTTAAATATTTTGTCTTTGTATTTTGCAAGGATCCTTGTCACCAAGTCAATTGTGGAATGTTATTAGACCTGCCACTTTACAGCCCCCACAAGCCCTGACCTGTCCTGAAATTCCTGTAGTATCTCTAATGACTAAGAAAGAAGCATGTGTTCAGGTAAAAAGAAAAATAATTTTACTGGAGCTCAAACTAAGGAAAAAAACCAACCAAACAAAAACACCCAAAACAATCAAAAACAAACACCAAATAAACCAGTGCTGTTTTAAAGCAATTAATTAATTAATTATGCAGCTAATTAATCATGCATTAAAAATGGCATGATTTTCAAGAAAGTTCCCATGTAAGTTTCAGTGGAATTGCTGTATTACTGACATGATGTGAAATGTTAAACTCATGCTGACTGTGTTTGAAAAATTATCTCTTCTCTGCAGGCTGTCTTACCTTTCTGATATCAGGGTTCTGTGGAAAAATCAGCTTTGGGTGTTTTGGATTTTGTTTATTTAGAAAGTGAGATTTTAGCATTTTAATAGAGGGCACTGGTTTAACACACAGCTGGAGGAAGCTCTGCCAACTGCAACATCTATTATCCATATCTGTATCTGTCTGTGTAACTTTATACCTTAGTGACTCTGGATTCTAACAGATATGTTAATAGCAGAAAATATAATAGCTCTAATTAATCCATTTGATTTTATTATTCCTAGCTATCTGAAGACAGCTCTTATTCATCCACTGAGAATTCAGTAAATTCCAAAACAGCAGTGGGGTCATCTAGTACCATGAGTCTTTCCAGCTCTCAAAAAACACAGTAAGATTTTGTTTATTTTATTTCTGCATCATCTTGTCACTTGGCTAATGGCATGCCCTTTCATCATCTATGTCTAACATGGTACTAAGCCCATCCTGTCTGCACTCACACAGGGCTCAGTGCTGTTTGTGTGCCAAGATTTGTGTCTGCTGACATGAACTTCATATGCCATAAAAAATGGACTCCCAACTACAATTAATCTCTGTGGGACAGGTGGTTTCGCTCTAGAAACCAAGCTGGAAACTATTCTGGTTTGCCATCTCTCTTCTGACTGCATGTCTGCTGCATCTCATAAAAAAGGTGCATAGAAACTCAGGAAATTTCATTCTTTTGTGGAAAGACAATGTATTTCAGCATATTGGACACAAGAAGCATAAAGAAAAAAATACAGGACTGATTTGGAAGACCAGGTGAATGCTGCAATTGATGCTCTATTTTCATTCACAAAGCAGAATTTCTGGCACGAGAAGCTATCTGTGGTGACTGTGACAGGCTAGCATTTTTGTGCAGCACAGACTTCAGAACTTCTGTGAGGAACCTGATGTCCTTGGAGTAGGATGTTTCCCCATCCTCTTGACACTGTATGTGATGGAAAGAGCCCCTTTCTTGGAGATTGATCAGATTCTGACTAAAGCTTGTGTCATACGTGACAGAAATACAATGCTGGGAAAACACTGGCTTCTGGTCATGTGTTCAACTTTGCACAAGGTTTTGCTTGGGAAACAGAAAGGGTTTCAGGCCAGCACTGAGAAGAAGTTACACTGGTGCAAAAGCAGGCTTTTACCTCTCTGGGACTGGCTCATGAGAACTCTAGGTCTTTGGCTGTCTTGTGGTATTAATACTGCTTGCTGGTGTTGATGAGGGTTTTTTACCTGGAAGTTGTGAGCATCAGGAATACACCTGGTATCCCTTTTGATGAGAGAATGACTTTTCAAAATTGCTAGGGCCACAGATAATAAATTTCTAATGTTGCCTAATTCCCCCTTCTAGCCAAGAAGGGCACAGAATATGTACATTGCAAAGGAGTCTGTGCCAGTCTTCTACAGGGCTAGATGGACCATAGATAGAGGTTGTGATGCACAGTGCCAGGGTTCTGAGGAGGCAAAGGAGTTTAGAGGCACAATCAACTTAGATTCTTAATCCTTATCAACAAAAAAAAAACATCATTAGAGGGCAGATTCTTGCTGTGATTTTGGAAGAACCAACCTTTTCTATTACATTTGATGCTGTTGTGATGCCCTCTGAGGACAACAGGTAGCCACAGAGCACACTGGGTTTTTAGGAGAATCTGAATGATGATAATGCATGCATTAGAAAAACTAAATCATCTGCTGTTGGTACTTTAAATTTATTTACCTGCTGTCAGCTACACAATATCTAGGAAAAGATTGGTGAGTGACTTTCTCCTGTGAAGTAGAGAAATGCAACACAGTAATTCAGTGCCAACAAGTTAATTTGAAAGTATTTATGGTATTTCTTTCCCTTGTCTCTTTTTTTCCCACAAACACCCTGCCTGGGGTGTTTGTGCCTCATGAATTCTGTATACCACTATACTAGTTCTGTCATAATCATGGTAAATGTTGGTTCCTTTGACAGCTGAAAACTAACTTAAACACTGCCAGGTGCCTTCTGCTCTTCTGAGATTGCAGAAGGATGTAAGTGCCATTCTTCTGATCCATATTAAGTGACTGATGCTGTATAATACTTAGGTAAAATCTTTCTGGTATAGCTGTTTTCTCATCAATAATAAACAAATTATTAAACTCTGCATACATACTGAACTGAACATTGCAGACAGACCTCCTCATTGCAAAGAAAACAACTTTTTAGGGTTGCTCTTAACTTCCAATCAAGGCATAGTTGTTGACATTTGTTTATAAAATAAAATGCAGAGATTGCTTTGCCTGCAGACATCTCTCTCACTTTTGCTCCTCTTCCACATTTTCATCTCTCCATTATATGACTCTGTGGAGAGATGAGTGAAAATACCTTGTTAATCCTCCGCAGTTGCTGCAGCTGTCCATGTTTCATGAAAGCACTAATTTTCATTTCCTGGGCTGACTATAATAATGAACTGAAAAGGAAAAAAATTCCAGTTTGTTGATTCTGATTAAAAGCTTGGAAAGCTTGTGTCATAAGTGACAGAAATACAACAGTGGGAAAACACAGGCTTGCAGTCACATCAGCTCAACTTTGCACAAGGATTTGCTTAGAAAACTGAAAGGGCTTGAGGCCAGCACTGGAACTGGCAGCTACTCAGACCTTTTTGGACACTCTGAGAAGGCCAGTCCCTGAATTTATTCCCCTCTCATAATCCCATTTGAGTACTTTATCCATATTTCTCCTCCCATTGTTCCTTGTTAATGATCATTCCCTGATATCAGTGACTGTGTTTTGTATCTCCATGACAATGCCATCCCTGGGGCAAGAACACTTTGCACCCCTGACAATGCATCCCTGGCAAGAACACTTTGTTCTTGCCATACAGCAACATAAGGCTATTGAGGTTTTAATAACATTTTAAGGCTGGCACTTCCAGTTAACTTTCTTTTAAAAGAGAACTAATTGCACTGATTAATTTTTCTTACATTTCTGAATATAATCAAAACATTTTCCCACATTTTTTTCATAGAAATAAGCCTCTAATTCTTGGGTTTTTAGCTCTTTTGGGGTGCTGTCCTTAAGCTGCTATTGGAGCAGCCTAGAAGTAGCAGCTGAAATGTCAGTATGGAAATTGGTCACATTCCAGTAAATTTTAGTGAGGGGTGTGTTTAAGGATAAAAAACTCATTAACACACTTCGGATTTCCTGTTCATAGCCCAAAATATGCATAGAAGCTTTAAAGGCTGAAAAGACAAGTATTTTCTGATTTCTCTGTTTTGATCCTAGCAAATGTGTTGTCTTAGCAACACATCAAACATGAGAATGCCAAGGAGTATTTTTCTCATTAAAAAAGATTGAGAGAGGTAATACTCGGTAAGCCCTTCATCCTTGAAGAGATTTTAAGCATACTGTAGTTGTGAACAGAGAAACTATTTTAGAGGAAATCATTGAGGTTCTGCAACAAACCCAGCAATTAACAGGAATATCCCATACATGACATATGTTATGTTAAGCCCTCCCAAGGGTGATAAATACTGTGAAACAGATGTAAGTGGTGCTGAAGAATGCAGTTTGTGACACAGTATCAGGCTGCCTTCCTGCCAAGTCATCCTTCTGGAACAGAAAGTGAAAAGAGCTTGCATGGTTTTGCCTATGCCAGCAAGACATGCAGGATTAAGCTCTACAGATAGCATAAACAACTTATAACCCCTTCGTAAAAAAACCAAAATCAAACAAACCAAAATCAAAACCAAACCAGCAGCAGGAACAACTTCCACACAAAGGAGTTTACAAGGACTTTCCTCACTTTTACAAAAAATGAACACTGTTTAAAGTTGCTATGTAATTAGCAGGTCAAATTACAATTCTACTTGTATAGAATATTCTGAATGTAATCTCTGAAACATAGCTGGCCAGTACCAAAGGATTGCAAGTATTGAGGTCTCTTCTCATTTTATCTCTGGAACAGGTAATTGAAAAACGGAAACACTTTTCTCTCCTGTTCTACTTACACCTCATCTTAAGCTGTCTGCTATCCTATCTATACATTTTTTCAGTATCTGTGTGTGTATTTGAATACATTGCCTTCCTGCACTTCCAAGATGCAAGGAGGATGATGAAGGAATGCCTGTAAGGCACCAGGGTGTACATTATTCTGCAGAGTACTGGAGCTTCATCAACTTGAAAGGATAGCTGTTAATTGTTGGTAGTCCTTTGGAGGAGCAAAAGAAAACAGGGAAACTAAAGTAACTCATTAAAATTTTTGGAGTAAGACACTTCTCGGAGGAGAAGTGACGTGCTGTTTTGCTGCTTGTTCTTTGGTCTTAAGGAATGGCCTCAATAATCTTAATGAAATGCAGTGTGATACTCTGTTCCTTTTGTGAAATGTTCCATAGAGGATATTCTCATATTCTCTTAAAGAATTTATCTGATTACTTATGTGATTACTTTTTTGTTTTTCTTTAATGTTAGGTGTGGTGAATCTTTAAAGTGTTTTAAATAGTTTTAAATCACATTCTTATGTTATTTTTTTCCCACAGAAGTCAGTTGCTCAAAGAAAGAAGTGTACAAAACAGCAGCAATTCTGATTTTGTGTTTGGAGAAAACATGGTTGAAAGAGTTTTGGTTGGATCTGCACATGCTGGCAGACTTTTTATCAAGGTCAGTGTACTTAAGAGTACAATTACTTTTTCAGATATTGGTTCTTTTTAGGTTCTCCTTCTTTTAAAGATGTGAGTAAATATGGTTCCAATGTCTCTTGAGGAGAAAGTATCTAAGGACGTGCTGCTGGAGGGGTAGGCATTCCTATCTTCACCACCCTAGACACGTTCTTTAATTACTAATGCTTACCAATGTGCCCTTCTGGTTTTTTTACTTGAAAAACAGTTTTTTATCTATTCCATGTAAAGTGGAACACCCACAATGTAAGATAAAAGAATGTGCTTACTGATGTAATAACTTCCATCGTAACTGTAAGAGGTCGGATACCTGAAGGGAAGCCTACAAAAAGCTGAAGAGAGACTGCTTACAGGAGCAGGGAGTGACAGGACAAGGGGAAATGGCTTCAGACTGAAGCACGTAGGTTTAGGTTTGCTATTAGGAAGAAACGCTTCTCTTTGAGGGTGGTGAGACCACTGTTAAACATTTGCCTGGAAATGCTGTGGATGCCCCATCCCTGGAGGTCATCGAGGATGACCATCCAAGGCCGAGCTGGATGGGGCGCTGTGCAACCTGATCTAATTAAAGGTGTCCCTTCCCATGGCAGAGAAGCTGGAACCAGATGATCTTTAAGGTCCCTTTCAACCCAAACCATCCTGTGATTCTGTGATAAAGTATGAGGGAAAGATTGGACACCTTAGAGAGTGTCCATGTTAAAGCATATTGTGCATGCTTGTGAGGCAGCTTATGTCCTGAAGGACTCTAGGACAAAAAAGTGGTTCCCAAGATGAGGACTGCACCATTGAAAATGGAATTGAAATTCAGTTTTCAGTTGAAGTAGGATGAAAAGTGTATGCTTATCTGCCAGGTAAAAAGCTTGGCAACCATACGTTTGGGGTATGCCTTATGGCCAAGATTTATTTATAAGGTATGAGTTGAGGCACTGAGCATTGTCAGAAGCCACAAGCATTTATTTACACATGCCTAAGAAAATTTATCTGCAAAATAAGGTGATAGAAATTTTTTACTGAAATTTAAGTCCTCTGAAGTTCAGTTTGTGGTGTCTGAGAGTTTTAAACTACTCTTCTGGGAACTATGGGCTTGAAATGGAAATAAACCAGTACCTTAACACCTAAATTCTTCTGTGGATTTAAATACTAGTCCACACAAAGAGGTCATTCTTCTCAGAGGAAGAATGATGTACTGATTCTATGATAGTAATATTACTTCCTCTAGACACTGAAATTGTATCATGTGGGCTAGTTTTACTCTGAAGCTATTAAAATTGCTAATCTTCAGCCTAGCATGCATTAAATTGTTCAGTGTTCTATTTGATATAAAGTAACATAGCCATTTTTTAAAATAGGAATTCTTATTTCCCCTGTATTTTTTTAGAGTCCTGAAAGGCATCCCAAGCTGTGTAAAGAAGCTGATTTACACAAAGGAGAAATAATATCCATGTCCACAGGATCTTCTCATGTCAGGCCACAAACAAGTAAGAATACTCAGCAAACAAGGACAGTTAGCTTTATTATTATATCTCACTGTCTTTTAGAGGATGTCAAATGAGTGGTGGTCAATAATATTCATCAATTCCCAATATATCCAGTCATGAGTATGCTTAGAGTATGTGCCAAAATCTATATTCAGAAAGCAGGTAGGGTTTGTTTTATGACATGTGAACTGGACTAACTTCAGAAAGCATGATTTGAATTACTCAAAAAACATTACAGAATATTATTATTATTTATTGTTTGAAAAAAAATGCAGCGACCTTTATGAATGCCTTGTGGACCACATTGTTGAATTGAAATTTTAGGCTGTCTGTTGCTTGCATTTTTCAAATTCTCATATCAATTAATTTGTTATTTTGGATCATAATTGTGGGACTGAAAGTTCTGTACAGACAGATTTCAGGGTTTGTTTGTGACTCGTGTGAGATTTTCTGCTGAGCAACCCATGTAAATCTCAGCTGTGAGGAAGTCCCCAACAGGCTCCTGTTTTGAGCCCTCTTGACAAATTCTGCACTCCTCTTTACTAACAGATGTATTAGATCCTATGATTTGTGTGAGCATTCTTATAAGTAAAACATTCTAAATATAAAGCCCTCAGAACATGTGTATAGATTATGCAAAGGTACAGAGCTTTGTAATAATGTTGTTCCTTTCAAATCTTGTCCTTCTGTGTTCCTGTTAATTATTCATTGTATATGTATTATTATTCTGAATATTGGGATATGTATACTCGGCATAACAATATATCAGATGAGTTTAATTTGGAAAATCAGCTTCTAAATATTTAGACCTTGTTTCTGATTGTTCCTGTTTGTCCCTTGGGACAAACCTCTGCAACTATAAACAGCCCTGTTCAATTCTGTATGAGCCTTTTTAGTGAGGTATTTTATATTCCTTTTCCTCTTATGTTTGTTCCTTTGGCCAAAAACTTATTAGTAACACTAAACAATGTCAGATACCACAGGTATTACTGAGGTCACATCCTGTGTGACCTGTACTAGTTTTGTTATCCTAAAAATATTCCCAAAATATTCCCTGTACAGAAATTTTTTTTTTTTTTTCCTACAGAAAGACCTTTGTTGAGGAATGCAACACTAATTGAATCAGCAGCTGCTTGTGTTTCCAAGCCAGTGAACAAAATCCTGTTAGATAAAGTTGAAGTTATAACTGGAGAAGAAGCAGAACAAAATGTATTGCAGGTGTGTAGTTCATAAAACCTTGATGGTGAGTAGTTTAGTTGTTGAAAAGAACATCTAGATCTATTACAGATGCAGCAATCTGAAAATAACTTCAATTTATATTTTAAATGTTTGCTTTTTTAAGCTATGCCTCATCTAACCCATTTTTATGTAAGTTGGTGTGTTCTTTTTCATAGTATATTTGTTCATTTTGTTGTCTCTTTCAGTAAGTGCCTATTTCAGTGGTATTTTATAAGCATCTACGTAGTATACTAGCTGTCACCACAACCTTAGAACTGGAAGTGATTTGAGTAAAGGTGGGGCTTATGAAAAAATTTTTTTGGGAAAAAAACCAATGTGTTGTAAAAGTAATCTGTTTTATAGTTCAGCTAAAATAGCAATTATCTTTTCAACCTGTCAGGGCATATATTGTTATTCTTTGTCTTCAAAATACTATTTTCTCAGAAAATAGCAATTATGATTTAAAAAATCTTAACATTATTTTATTTTTGATTAATTCTTAATTCTTAATTCTTAAACACAAAAGTTTTACTGTCTTTGGAGCAGTACTCTTCTAGTACCAGTACTGGTATCCTGCTGCATAACATTTGTAATGAGTGAGGAAATAATGTTGGACAACTTTTGCAACAAATTTAGCTATGCTGGTGGATATCACAGACTGCTGCTATGCTTAAAAATAGCAGCAGCAAAACTGAAGGGCCTCAGTAACTTTCTCAACAGACAAAGAGTTAATGAAGATGAAATAATTGAAAAAGTAAACTGGGACTCATGCTGAATGTTTTCTATGATGAGAAAAGAGGTCACAGATCTAAGAGCCCTTTCAATTTAGGTAATAAAGGTGATATAGCTGTATATCTATGTATAGGTATATCTATGTACCTTTCTGCACATGCCATGTAATACATGGATGTATTAAAAGCCCAGTCAAAAGTTTTACAACCATTAAGTTGTAAAAGTAAAGTTGTTATTTTAGAGCCAATAAAACTAGCATTAGCTGGCAGTTTTCATAATGTATTTCTCTTTCAGATTAACTGCAAGCTCTTTGTATTTAATAAGCTTTCTTTAAGCTGGACTGAAAGAGGCAGAGGATCCCTGAGGCTTAATGACACTTCTAGCAATAAACATGGAATGTTGCAGTCAAGGCTAAGTACGAGTTAAATAATGAAATACCCCATACAGGAAACACCAAATAACTTGTGTTATTGTTGGCCACAGTTTATTTCAGAACATTTAAATCTGAGAAGATCTTTAAGTCAAGTTGCTGAGAATCTTTTTACCTGATAAAGTTCTGTGTGTTACAGACTGAGGAAGTGGGCTCACATATATTGTTAGGTTCTGTGTACTTCTCTGATGTACTGTGTACATCAGAGAAGTACATAGTCACCAGTCACCAGTCTAACAGTTTGCTCTTTGTTGGTTCTGCTTTTTCAGCAGCACTGTTTCAAGACTCTTCTGGAATGTTGTTTTTACTGTGCTGTCACTTTTTTGTACTGTATTGCACAGTTTCAGCTGATTATTTCCTTTGCATGTCAGACATATTGAAAGAAACTAATCTATTTGGATATTAAAAAAAAAATAAAAATCTCACTATATCAGGGTTTTATACCAAATTAAAAAGAATAATTGATGAAAATATTAGTTGTATACAAGTGCTGGAGAAAACAAATGCATCATATCTTATCATTTTAACCTTCTTATTTTAGTTATGCGAAATCAAGGTAGCTTGAGACTGATACTCAACACCCAACTCTGGGAACAAATGGTTATAAAAAGAGCAAACAGAAAAAGCCTGTGCTTCACTGCAACAGATCAAGAGGACCATTCTGTTCAAGTATTTCTAGCTCAGGTGAGTAGGAGACAACAGCTCCACCCAAAACCCCACATCATCTAGAATTCTGAAGGGCTGCTGAAGGTTGGTTTTAGCAAATGGCCTTCATGCTCCGTCAGACTGTGCTCAGCTGAGATGTTATAAGACTTTTATTATAGAATGTATTAGAATGCTACTTCAAAAAAACAGGTGTGATGGTATAATCTGGCCTTAAGACAGACGTTTCCAGACTCTGGTTCACATACCACCAATGGGATGGATATCATTCCAGCAATACGCAGAAATGGCTCTTTTTTAATGGAAGCAATACACTGACAATATCTTCACAGGTAATTAAAATTTTTACCAGTTACTCTGGTAAAAGGCAGCAGCTTTCTGCCATGGTTCTCAGCACACCACTTGCAATAAATCCATCCAGTGTAGGACCTCCGTTTCTCAGTTGCAAAGAACACAGAGTTTCAGTATCACCTTCTGTAAGACCCAAGGGTCTCTTGGGATCCCTGATTTTCTCCAGCAAGGGCTAAATTGGAGATGGGAATGTGCTGGACTTATTTGCAAATAAATAGCACATATGTCCCAAGTTGGAAAGTGAGAGCATCCACATGAGTTTAAGGATGTTTACATTTTCCCCAGTAGATCTTTCTAGGAAGGATTCAGCTTTCTGGGAAAGACAAATAAATCATCATTTCCAGGAAGTGTCACATATCATACACAAGCAAACACCACGCACTGTATACGCAAGTACTGTAAATCTGTCAGTCCCTAACAGGGATTGGCTTAACTATGGCTGTGCTGGACTGCTGGTCTGCGTGTGAGAATTATAAATGTCCTGATTTCCAGGTGTAGTGCACAGTTTGCATACAGTGTGTAATTTACATTCCATAAATTTGTCTTGGCACTACTGGGCAGTAAAAATAGACATGTATGAGGAAATCACAATATATGAAAGCTGAATGGGTGTGGCAAGGGTTGCAGGAAGCTGCTTCTACAGACACTGAAGAGGCTGGTATCCATCTCTACAGTATCCACCTGGTGACTGTATATTTTAACATGTCAGGGCTTTCCTACTTCTAGAATCAAGCTCAGGAATCATCCAAAATATCAAATACTCCATAAAAACTGAGCTGTTCTTCAGGGAAAGTAATTTTTAAGCTTATGTTTCTTGTAACTGTAGAGAAAATAATCAACAGCTGCATATGAAGCTCAGACCACATAAAAGAACTACATTTATTTGTATTTAATATTTGGATGTTAATTATTAAGTGTGGATCTTAAGCTGATTGTTTTGATTGAAAAGGACAAAATACAACTCACTCAATATTTTTTAAATGAATTTTTAAAAATAAATATTTTTTCTCAGTTGTTTTGGACTGTATACATTTTATGTTCTGCAGGCAAGCTCAAAAGACACTGAGCACCTGTATGCAGCAATACATCATCGCCTTGTGGCCTTGCGAAGCTTTGCTGAGCAAGAGCCAGATGCTCATCAAGGAGACACAGAGTCAGAAACAGCTTTTCAGCCATTAAACTGTGATAGTGATGATGAAGATGATGAAGAACTAACTCAAGTGAGCAGTACTGGATCTGGTAAGCAGAGGTTTTGCTGGAAATGTGTAATCCTTTCACAGTATTTGCTGAAAGCAATGAAAATTGGACTTGTTTTTTAAGCTGTCTATAACATTTATCTGATACAGATACGCCTTTTCAGGTAGAAATTGGGTAATTCCTTTTAGTATTTTGACTTATTACTGTTAAAATGTAAGATTTTGCCAGCTCAAGTATCTACATATATTTATAGCCATGGAATACTCTTGACAAAAGCTTGAGGTTTAAGAAATGTTATATTATCAAGCATTATCTAAATGCTTTTTCAGTATATTTCAGTAGAAATTACTAGAGATGTTGAGATACTGATTTATTTTGAGTAAGTGAAGAATGAGTCCACTCACATCAGTGACTTGCTTGTTACTAAAAGCCTGGAGCACAATGTGTTCATGAAGATACTTATTATGTCATGGTTAACTTTATTTAAAACATGTTCCTTGATCAGCTGTAACAACTGGCTCAACTAGGAGATCTGCAGGACAACATCTACACACCACTTTTGCCAGCTTTCGTCACCATATCAAAAATGTAGGTTTCTAAGAGAGAAAAATGCCACTAAAATAAGATGTTAATGTCTTAATCCTTCTTTTAATGCAACTCACAACAGGGCTGCAGTCATATTTGCAGACAGCAAGGCAGAAAGGGCTGTTAGACTTAAAAGCTCCTCTGTCTTAGCAAAAGACAAGTCAAATTCACTGCTTGTGTCAAACTACTACAGGGGATACAGGACCTTCCAATTAGGTGTGATTTTTCAACAGATGGATTACATCAGGCAACTTTGAGTTGTTGCTCACAGGATTAGTTTCCCTCTGCAGCTATGTAACATACTGTCCTTATATTATAAACATTCCTTTCAACAACTATTCATCAAGAATCAAGAAATGAACAGTAACAGCTATAACTACTGTTTCCCTAAGGAAAAAAAAAAAAAAAATTCCCCTTTATCATAGAATCATGGAATATTCTGAATTGGAAGGGACCCTTAAGAATCAAGTCCAACAACTCCTGGCGCTGCACAGCACGCCCCAAGAGTCACACCCTGTGCCTGAGGGCATTATCCAAGTGCCTCTTGAGCTCTGCCAGGCTGGTGCTGTGACCACTGCCCTGGGGAGCTGTTCCAGTCCCCAGCCACCCTCTGGGGAAGACCCTTTTCCTAATAACCAGCCTAAACCTCCCCTGACACAACTTCATGCTGTTCCCTTGGGCACTGTCATTGGTCACCACAGAGATCAGATCAGTGTCTGTCCATGAGGTGTTCCTCATGAGGAAGACCCCAGTGAGGTGTCCCCTCAGTCTCTTCTCCAGGGGCAACAAGCCAAGTGACCTCAGCTGCACCTCATACCCTTCACCGTCTTGCTTATCCTCTTGATAGACTGCAATACCTCTATATCCTTCTTATATTGATTGACCCAAAACTGCACACAGTTTCTGGTAACTTGGAAATTTTGGATGGAGCTTGACTCCTTCCCAGAACTCCTAATAAGAATTCTTTGTTCTTTCAGGGAAGAAAAAAAAAAAGAAAAAAAAAAGAAAAAAAAAATAGGGGAAAGGGAGTTTCAAAGTAATGTAGGAACACAGATATACAAGTTAAATATTTATTTTGATTTACAGAAACTTCTGATACAAATACTCAGATGGCAGCCAGCAAACAGATTCTGAAATGTGTGAGGTGCTGTTTTTTTTGTCCTTTAAGTTTAAGCAGCTGTACCTCATTTATTCCCGTTTGTAACAGTTTTAACAATCCCTTTCAAGCACTTCTTTAATGGCTTCTAGCTCTTCTGCTTATCTTAATCTCTTCTCAGAGCTGCAAGGTTTTAATTTGCACACATTTCAGTTACTGGTATCCGAGTCACTCTCCACTTCAGACATTCAACCTCACTCATGACTCTCCCTGGAGCTCCCTTTTACAAAAATGGAAAAATAATAGGCCTTATGGGTTTTGAACAGGAAGAGGTCAGTTTTAAATATCAGCATAGAAATGTCCATTTAGATATAAGAGAAAAAATCCTGATTTTTTTTAAGAGCATTAATTTTAACACTTTAATTTTCATTCTTTCATTTTCATTGAAGGGTGTATGTGAACAAGTCATCTTCTTTTTATTGATGTTACTCAGTTTTGGAGATCACCTCTCCTTAAGAATATGTAAATGTTAAGAAGCCTAAATTTTCAGGGACTGTTTCTTTACAAGAGATACAAGAATTTATAAAATATGCCTCCATTGTATGTCATTCCATTCTATTTGTTTTTTCTCATCCCCCCACCCGCCATGGTTTTCTTTTCTTAATATAGCAATTTCCTTCCTGTTAAAATGAACTCACACAGTTCCTAGATGATGTATTTCATGACACTGTAAAAGACATAAAAAATTTGATCTTTATTATCTTTATAGTATTTTTATAATTGTCTTTAGTGCTTGAGAAGAAAGCAAATATGATATACTTAGTAAGTGAATTATGGACGTTGAAGTGATTCTGTATATTTGCAAGACTTTGTTGTAGGCATTCCTTACAGAAAATCTACAGTATGTTAATGCTATATACAGACAATGTATAAGGTAGTAGAGATTTTTGTATGATTTTATGAGATCAGTATTGACATTTATTGCAGTATTTTTAAAAATCCTAGTTGAATTGCTTTACTTTCAGATAGAGATATTAATTTCATAAAGTCCATAAGGAGAAATTTGCTGTGCCTGATATTTTTATCAGATCATATTTCACCAGTTACAGCCTGAATATTTTTACCAACAAAATACTCTGTAAATCTATGTGGAGAGAAAAAGAACAATCTTTAAATAGATTTTGAGAGTGGATGGGACCAAAAAGTCTTTGGAAAGTATTTATCTTTTCCCTCTGCCTATAAAGTGAGTTGAGGAAGGGAATTCAGACTAAACAGTAAACTTCTTGGCTGAACAAAGTCAAACAAGTAAAGTGCATGAGAGGTACAAAGATGGCACTGTCACTAAGCAAAGAGAAGTTTTATGTATTACTCCTTACACTCCACCTCACTGATCAGAAATCTTCTCCTAACTTCATCCTGACTGAGGAATCATCTCTTTTGATTGAGGTGTCCTCTCTGTAATTTTATCTTAGATGATATTAAAATGAATTCAAAGATTCTGGAATCTAGGACTTGGTAAGTCCCAAGAAGTGATTCCATACCCAACCATAGACCTTACAAGAAAAATCACAGTGTGCAAAGACATAAGAGTGTATCCCATATGGATCCACAAAGAATTGTGTGGATTTTCGAGACTACTGGTATTCAGAGCCAGTAGTCTCCAAACACCAGGAGTGTGTTTGGAGAGCCAGACAGCATCATAACAAAGAAATGCAAAAGCACAAGCATTTGCAGAACTGAAGAATGTTTTATTTTACGGACATTTGCTGGTCCACTAAACATGTACTTCCCATCTCAGTTTCATTAGGACTCTCTTTTATGCTGGAGTTTACCAAGATTTAAAAGGTTACAAGAGCGTTCTTTCTATTTTGAAGTAATGTACTTTTAAAGTTCTTAAAGAAACTACTCTTCAGCCACACCACAGTAACTCCTGAAAAACTGCTTTGTCTGGCATTTCTTGTCAATTTACTTTAAATTCTTATCAATTGTTAAGGATTCCAAACTATAAAGCTAACATACACATACCTGATAGTGATTAAAACTGAGGAAGAAGGAGAAGTTAAGAATTAACTTCTTTGTTGGAGTTTCTGTATTCTTTTCAGCATGCACCACTAATATCTAAAGCAGAGAAAACAGACACTCTGTGATCGGTTTTAAATTCTCTCATATCAGAAAAGGGGGAAAATCAGTTTTAATATTCTGACACACACAAGCTTTCATTTCACTTGTAAAAGATTTTAAACTCTTGGTAAGTATTTAGGGGTGGCCAGATGGTAGTCGCAATTTTTAAGCAGATACTGTGTTAGTGGTATTGTGTATCTGACATTATTAGTCAGTTCTGCCTACTTTCTGCAGATGAGTCAAAGTCACAGAGATTACGCACCAAAACCACTTTCTCATAACCAATGAGCTGTTTGAAGGTATGTTGGATTTCTCACAGTTTTCTGAGCATCTTTAATGAAGTCTTAAAGCAGTGTACCCTCCATAGAGTGAGAAAATTTGCATCCCGGGTATATTGCCCTACCTAGACATCAGATTCCTTACTGTGTTTTGTGCTTGCCTTTATTGACTTGGAGGGTCATAGGCTTCATTCATGATTCACATGCTCAAATATTTGTGAATAATCCTCTGTTATCTAGTTACCTATTTACCTAAACCAGGAACTGATCATATCCAAACTTTAACCTACTGCTTTAGTGTTATGAAATGCTGGATTGTTTCAAAACATGAATATGCTCAAATAAGCAAGATTTTTTTCAATAAATTCTTTTTCAGATCATTCTAGATGGAACCGCAGGCAGTCTGTTGTCTGCTCATGATATCTGCAGAAGTTACAACAGCTCAGCTGGGAACTCATCTTCCCAAAACGTCTAAGCTGACTTATCAACCCCTGGAGGGAGGAAATCAGATGCATATTACTTTATTACTTTTAAGTAGAGATTAATTTTAGAGACAGCTTAAGTTTAATTCATTGAGAAAGAACTTCAGATGCACTATTGAGGATTCCAGCAGCCTGCTTTGCACTGAGCTGTGAATAACACCATGGCTTCCAATACTCAAGAACTGTTACAAAGTCTTTCAATGTTAGAATTAAATATATTTAGATGCATTATTAGAGTGAGGAATTTTATAGAGAATAAGTGCTTGTTCATCATATTGATGGATAATACCACATAAGCATCAACTAATAATATATGTAAACAGATATTTGTTACTTTTAATCTATTATTTAAAAGATACAGTTGGAAAGCTTTAAATTTTGCTTCACTGAAAACATTTATTTAAAACTGTGCTGTAACATTCAGCATCCTATTTGTAAGCAAATACATGCAAGCAAAACCTGGGGTGGCAGTTTAGCATGACCAAGGCCTATAGAAACTAGCCCCTATAGAAACCCCCTCCCTGTATTTATTTTTAAAATATCTGGAGTGGTATACTTGCTGCAGAATTTTGTTTAAGGAAAAAGAACGATGATCTGCATCTTTCAGCTGTATGCGCCAAAAGAATTCACCATGAGGAAGTAAAAGTTCATTCTAAGGGCTACATCAGCTTTAAAATTTAAAGTATAGCTGCTTGCTCATGAACACCTTTCTAGCTGAACAAAACAAACACCTGCACTTGTGTATATTAATTGTCCATTTGATATACACACATAAATGCATGCACAGTACAACAGGATATCTACATTCAAAAACCTCTTCAATGTGTGAGATTATCTAAGATTACTTCTGCCTTAGCTGTAGCTATTCCTAACAGCATCATTCATGAGTATGTTACCCATTCTCATGTGCACAATAATCCCAACTGTGGCCAAAACACAGTTGCTCTGTAAAAGTCATTTCACAAACTAATGCCTTCTACCTAAACATTTTTGTGAGAAAAAAAACTCCAATTCAACCTGTGAATCGAGACTTGCAGGGTCATTCATAAGCCCATGCACAGTAAGACATACCACTTACGCTCCATGTTTTCATTCTGTCAAAAACAGAATTTGCCTGCAGTCTCTCCACTGCCACTTCCCTGAAGTCCTGCATATTGTTTGTCATCCTCAAAGCTGAAACAATGTTCTGAAATATATCAAGTCCTTTTAATTAAGGTAATTGTAATGATTTCTCAAGCTAAAAAGCTGCAACACACCTGATCACTCAAGTTACAATTTAGTTTTCCCACCTGAACATGGTATGAAGTTGGAACAATATTTAATTTCTTCCGGAATTCTCAGTGCACTGCCAAGTTTAGTATCCAGATGAAGCTGAAATAGTTGTCTGGATTACACTGAATGTAATGACTCACCAAAATTAGCACTTGCCTGACATTGATTTAGCATCTGGGTGACAGTAAATTTAAGTACAACTTGATTTCTGCCTTCAGGAAAAAGGGAGTGCTTCCCAACAGAGCACCTGTGTCAAACAGTGAAGCATGGGGATTCTCTTTGATTCCTCTATAATAATAAATAAATAAATGCCAGTAATAAAAATATTGTTTCCATAATGAGGTGTACATTGTGTCCTTTGTTATCAGCCTCACTCCTGGCCACAACAATATTTACATCACTGACCTTCATATTTCATTGCTGCAACTCATCCTCAGGGACAAAGCTCCATGTTATAAAAACTCAGCCAGTTGTAAAACGCAGCAGCCGTATGTATTTAGCAACAGGTCATAGTGATATGTTTGCCCTGGAGTTCAGCTGGCTATGCACTGAATGCAGAGTTTGATTTCAAAGTCTGTCCTGATAATCAAAGCTTTCTGTGAAACAGGATTTAAGCACCTTAGTGACATGATACCCCTCTGAATTCTACTACAGCTGTAAAATCCTTGGTAAATGAGGGAGGTGTCCAGAGCAGGGATAACAGAACTTTTTCAGACACAGGATTTAAACGTTGTTATTTGCGCCCACAGCATACAAGGTTTATAAATAAAAGCTATTTTGATTTGCCTCTTCCCAAGGTCCTTACATGTATACACAAGTATACATATAAACACACACACTCATGTGCACACACACTCAAACATGAAGCTTCATCTCCCAAAAGCTGAGGAGGAAAATAGGTGCTTATTTTAAAGCCATTTGGTAATAGAGGAAAAACTTTTTGCTCTTAAGAACCTAATTATGTGTTCTCTTTAGTCTCACTGCACTAAAGTTCACTGTTCCTCAAGCCTGAAGGTACACCGTTATGTAATGGATTACTGGTTTTAAAAATGTAGTTTGTCATTTTATGACAGCTGGAGAGCAATTTCCATGCCTCAACAATAAACAATTCTCTTACCACTTAAATTTCTTTGTAACTAGGAGTCTTACTTTGTGTCCCAGTTAGAGCTTCCATGAGTTAAGAGTTCCATGCTGCAGAATCTCAAGCCTGCTTTCCTAAGGAAACAATATGTTAAGTGGTTGTGCACACCATCCACCTATCTGTCAGACACACACTGAGTCCACTGTTCAGTTTCAAAGAATTTCACAGGACCTAGAATACTCTAAGACTATTTAAATTATTCAGGAAAATTGGCAGTTGCTGTGAGACCGAAATCAGAGAAAAGCATCCTTTGAGGAAAAAGTTTCAGCTATTTTCTGTGATGCTGGTGGGCCTGAGTGGTGTTTTTCTACTTCTGTACAAGCTGCAGCACTTTCTGAGATGGAGGAGAAACAGAGTATGGAAGGATAGGTCCCTGTGGCCTGAAGAGAGGTGTAGAGACATGATCCAATATGAAACACATATGAGCCCATATGAAACTAGACATGATTTTTTTTTCAGATAAATTTCTATCTATTTATAAGAAACCCCAGTGACAAATTTATATACATAAGGGATGTAGAGCTGGAATATCTTATATATTCATACAGTAATTTTCCCAAGGAGGGAAAACTAACAGTTCCTAATAATATATTCTACTAAGATTAGGAACTTCTAGCAGAATATTTTTGGATGGGACAGACTGAATGTCCTACTTTACATTTTGGAGGTGTTTGTATCCCTTCATAAATCTTGTTCCTCAGGTTTTTATGTCCTGCTCTTTAGTGACCTCTGAAACAGTTTTGGCAGACTGTGTGAAGTTAAGAGTTAGGTAATATCTCTATTGAATAAACAAATACAGGAAAAAATTCTGGCACATTTGCTTTCACTGCTGGTGACAACCAGTATGACATGGACAGGGAGGGAAAGAGCATCCTCATTTCCCTTAGGCCTTACCATGGGGACATGCTGGCAGAAAAACTTAGAAAAAGCGTGCATGGCCCATTCTACAGCAGTTCTCTATCTAAAAAGCGGACTTCAAATCTGAACAGTTTGCATTTCACAAACACTAAAGTTATTAGTATAAAATGAGGTATCTGCAGTTGTTTGAGCATATTCAAATTGCTTCTGAAATGTTGAAGTCAATTGTATTAGACTACTTGAGGGATGGTGTAGTTTGCTTTGCATAAGCAAAGAGTGGGAAGAAAAGTAGAAAAGTAAATCTCTGATAATTAAAATATGTTCTAATGGAAGTGTGGACAAGAAAGCTTGCTCCTCTCACTGGTTTTGTGTAAAAAAATCAGTAATTTGCATTGATAAGAATAGCTGCACTTACTATGCTTTTGATTAAGCTTCCTCCTTAATTTTGTAATTTGGAATTTCTGAAATAAATTACATGACTAAATTACATAACTGAACTATGCAATCAGTGATGAGGGTACATACATTGCAAGCAAAGTGCAAGCACATGGATAGGATCTGTGATCAGAAATTCTATCAGACTACACTTGCTAATACATTAATCTATGTGACTCTGATGTGTTGCATGAGTGACGCTCTCTAAGCTTTAGTCTGGAGTTTTCCTCTGGATTATAAGAATTAACAGCTGTGGTCAGCTGGTCTCAAAATCCGAGGACTTGGATTTGTGAAATGTTACAGTGGTGGTGTGTTTACCTCATCCCCTGTGAAAGCACCTAACACACTGATGGCATCACCATATTAAACACAAACAAGCCACAATAATTTTCTGTTACCAGTGGCACATAGAGTAAGTCTAGACAATGCAAATAATTGGATAAGTTAATTATATACTTGTTATTAATTAAAATATCACAAGAAGCCATTATTCAAAGACTTCAAGAAGGAGTAGAAATGAATAGTTGTCCCAGATTGTAACTGCACTACAAGAAACATACACATTCTTCTGGGTGGAAATAGGCTACATATGGAGATTATCTTATATAAAACAGCTGGCACAGTTGTGCATTGCCAGTTTTGCAGCTAGTGAAATTAGGGAATAATTTATTGTTTATGTAGCAATTTTTCCAGTTACTTTGTTGCACTGAATATTTTGTGTATGACACAGGTATTGTTTTAAATTCACAATATATCTTGAAGCATGTAGAGCTAAGGATGCCTGGTTTTCTATGGATCTGTGTTTTGAAATTTACCTCATGTAAATAGTAACTCCTTGGTGCCCTAAAATGGGCATTTCTCTGAAGCATTTTTCTAACTTCAGGCAATTTTGAAGCTCTGTTTCCATGAAGAATTTTTAAGTACTCTATGCCCAAACCAAAGCTGGTTTTGGTTCAAGAAGTTATTACAGTGGAAGTTCGCTCCTAGACCACATTTGTGTCCTACAAGGATACCAGGTTTAAATGCCTGTATTTATTTGTTTAATTTTGCATGAATTAATCTGTCCCTTAATCTACTGGGTATATTGTTTAAGACATTGAAAATGGGGCATGAAGACATGTCATTTTTCACAAACTGAATATATCTCAAAATAGGTAAAGGGTCATTTGACAGATATGTGTGTCTTCTAGCTGTGTATCAGCAAAACCAAGAACTGTAGTGAGGGAGGGGTTAGTAGTGTATGTAGTGTCTAACACTACATACTACTGAACATTTTGTAAGTAGGTCCATTTATAAAGTAAGATGCAAACTGTAAGTAATATTCAACAAACTGTATTTCTTATGTTATAGAAAGTTTAAATCCTTTTCACAAAGACAATGGGGTATCAGACAATCTGTGTACTCTGACAAAGAGCTAGCCTGTCAGAGACTTCCTTCTGGGAACTAGGTATTAATTACTTCATAGCCTGTGCTTCAGCATTGTTTCCAGAAATTTAATCATCTACTGATTTGAATTTACATTTTTAAATACATATTTTATATTTTATGCAATAAGCTTGCTGTGTTAATTAATTCCAAAGACCATAACATGTTAATTGCATTACTTCAAAATAAAATACTATTCCATATTCAAACTTAATGGTTGAAACTGATTTTATTTTCAAAAATCAAAACAATTCAATATAAATAGACAATACACAAAGCACAAAATCTTAGAGGAGCAGCTAAATGGTCACTTAAGTTATAAAATAGATACCATTCAAAACAGAGTCATAAATTTTCGAAATCTCTTATATCTTTTAGGTCTCCAGGATGTTGTATTACCTACTGCTTTGTACAACCTAAAAGTTAATGGTTATACAGAATGAGGCATTTTCTGGTTAGCAAGGGAATTAGTTATGTTTAATTGGTTTCCTGGTAATCTGTTTTGTGATATTTTCCTTCAAGGCCAAGCTAATCAGTAGACAAAAAATCCTCCTACGCACCAGCAAAGACTGGAGAAAGCCTTTGTTTTGTGGGAAGAACAGAATGGCTGCAGCTATGCTTATTTCCTAAGACTCCTGGCAAAGCACTGTAGAGTGCTCCTGCATTGACAGGCAGGAGTTGCTGTTTCAATCCCTTCCCCCAGGGAAGATGAGGAACAAGGTGAGTAACCAGAAATGCGTGTCTAAGTGAAGCCTTCAGTGCAGAAGGACCGTCTGTGGCAGTCGATGCCTGCGCATGCAGTTATTGATAATCATGCAAACCCCCACAGAATTTCTGGACAGCTTGCTTACAATATTAAAAAGTAACTCAGGATCAATAATTTTATTTATTTATTTATTTATTTTTACCTAGACTCGCCAAACGCTGTCTTGCAATGCTGCAGCCAGGTCCTTTCTGCCCTTCCTGACACTGGCAAATGTCACAAAAAGACCACAACAGGCATGGATAACAAAAAGAGCTTTTAAGCTACACCAGCTCTCCGCCCCAGATGCAGTATTTAGTCCTTCTAAAACACAGCACGTGCTGTGTTTCCCCACCTTTCTGTGTTATTTTCTGAAAGTATTTTCCCCTCCCCCGCCAGTTTCCCAGGGAAGCAGGCCAGCCCCAGCCAGGCAATCCCCCTGGCTTCCTTCCACGGCCTGCTGGGTGCCGACCCGCACTCCCGGCCCCAGCGGGGCGTCACGTCACAGGCAAGGAGAGCGGGCTCGCTGTCCCGCGGGGCGTGGGGGACACCGTTTAGGAACACTGTTTAGGAACACTGTTTAGTCTCAGAACACTCCTTGGTCTCAGAATTCCCCAAAGCTATCTGAAGTTTCGCTAATGCACAATTATCAGTTCGTATTTGCCTTTCTGCGGTGCTGTAAAAGCTATCACAAAGACCGAGGACAGGAGCAGCAACACGTGAGATTTCCACACACG